AGGCAGGTTGGCTACAGCGGTAATTGAAAAGCGGGCTGGGAGCCCCAGGACGCCACTTTCCCCATCCCTTGTCAGAGCAGGCTGCGCTCTCAGCCATCCCCTCTGGTTAAATCTCTTTACCAAAGCGGTCTCTCTGAAGGCTTACACACAAGAAGATAATGGTGCTGTCATTTTTACAAATAATCACAACAGGAGCAGAAAAAAAAAAAAAAAAAGAGGAAGATGATTACGGCTGAAAATCCAGCGAGGTCCCAGTGGCTAATGCGGGGGGAGCGGCGCCGAGCTGTTCCTGCCGGGCAGCGGGCTGGCTTTGCTGCCGGGATTCGGGGGCGTGCAGCTGTGTTGCCATGACATTGGCAGCAAACGTGCTTCCCCTGGGATGGTTTTCCTTGTGTAAAAATACTATGAAGAGAAAGTATGTAGTGTGCTAGTTGAAGCAAATCCTGAGTGGGAGAAACAGGTTAACCTTGATTAGCTTGGCTGGATTGTAAAAGGGAAAAAAAACCCAACCTGCCAACCCTCTCGTGGCCTCCTCCAGCGGCCAGAGCCACGTCTCTGCTGGGATTACACATCGGGAGAGCGGCGCTGGTTTTACGCTGAGGATTAAACCCCGTCTTAAAAGGCAGTGGAACAGCAGGTGCTCCCTCCCCTACTCCTTCACAGAATGATTTGAAGTATTATTTTTTGTTATGTGATGTGGGAAGGAGGAGGGTGATGTGATATGTGTACCCCAGGGTATTTTTAAGCCTTTTACATCCTGTAAGATGTTGCTCTGAATCGGTGCAGGCTAAGAGGACCTCAGTGTCGAGGTTGGGAGGACTAATGACAAAATGGTCCAGGGGAGGAAGAGCAGCACCCTGCTCCTGCATCTGCAACAGGCGCAGGCTCTGAACCTGGAAGGAAGGAGACCCTTTGAAGTCAAGAATAAGGAGATTTTTAAACGGAAAGGCCTGGGGTGTGTTTTTATACCATGTTGTAGGAAGTATGGAATTCCCTTCCCCATGGCCTGGCATCTGGGGGTCCCCCCGTTGTGTTCCCTGCGTGGGCAGGGCCCCAGCACTCCGATCCGCTGCTGGTGGGGTTTGCCTGGGGCGTGAGAGCCTCGTGTCACAACCTGCGAGTCGGGTCCGCAGCTTCAGGCCCCGGATTTCTCTGTTGATTGGAAAGAGTAGAAAGGATAGCAGTGATCTTTACAGGCCTTTTCCTTCATTCTCACTTTTTTTGCCCTGGTTGAAGGTTTTTCTTCTCTCTAAACAGAAAGATTTTTTTTTTTCTTTAGTTAAGCAACACTTTCTGTGCCAACTTTTCATGCACATCAGTTATTCCCTTTGCTGGTTAGAGGTGAGACAAGTAACACATGGAGCTGACTTATTTGTAAGTTCCGCAAGAATTTCTCCTAGTCCGATGTTTGCCCGAGTTACACTAACTTGGGGAATTATTTACAAGTCAAAGGCACCCACTTCGTACATAAACTTGGTTGAAAAACTGTCTCGCACAGCGATGGAGGGACAGCTGTAGGTGTAGCTCGTGGGGGTGAAATTGTCAGTCCTCTGAGACAAACTGCTCATTTACCAACCGCCTCAAAATTATCAGCTGTGTCTGTGCTAGGTGAACACAGATGAGTGCAACAGAAACTTGAGGGGAAAAAAAAAATATGTTACTGTGTCTGTTAAATAGCAGAGTGTTAATTTACTGCTGAGATGATGATATCTACGAAATGGAATTCTGCTGGACCATCAGCAGGCTCCAGTGACTTTGTTGTGATGCTGGATGTGTTTTGGGTGAGTGATGCTTGAGCTGGGGAAGATGGAGGTTGGCTAAACCCATGCAGGGGGGTGGGCTTGCCTCATTGAGGGAGTTTGGGTTGTCCTGGTGTGTCAGTCAGTGTTTTTGATTTCTAAGCTGCTGAAGTATGCAACTTCCCCTGTTCCTCATAACACAGGTTTAGGTTTAAGTTCCCCAGGTTGGTAGTTGTCTGGTTCCCCCGGGGCTCTTGACCAGTCGCTGGTACCAGGGGCCACATTTCACTGTGCTGGCATTGTTGTCAGGGGATACAAATGACAGGGAAAGACAAGTTTCTGCAAGATAGACTTAGAGTGCATTAAATAAATATAAATTTTATTAAAAACACCCACATCTCAGCGTTATCAGGAATGATATAATAATAAACAGCTTTCAAATAACCTGCATTACATTACAATACTTACAGTATTTATAACCATCCTCGGATTCTCTTTATAGACATACCAAACATTTCATGAAAATGAATGAAACTAAAGTAAAAAAAAAAAAAAAAGTAGAACATAAGCATAGAAAATGCACACAGAAGTTCATTACCTTAGTGTCAAACTGCTAAAGTTTCCTACACAAGTTAACCACTAGCTTTAGAAGTGAACTTTATACCACTGTGCGTCAATCAAGATGAAAAATTCATTCAAGTAAAGTTGACACCACTCAGAAGCATCTTCAAGTATGGCTATAGTCAACCTGATAATCCTATACAAGCAATTTTATGTCTGCTTTGTCATTCGTTCCAACTGAGGCAGGGTTCTGTACACCAAAAATTACAGCTCGGGTATTTACAATACAAAACTGATTCACCAGCTAAGCTTCCCGCTCCTGCTGCCAGCAGTTTGGCAAATGACGGTGCACGGCATATCAACCAAACATCTACTGTGGATTACGTGAGTAATACAGGACTTAAAACAAAAAAAATCACCAAAAGATGAAGATTTATCATGATTTAATTAATCTGACATATAACCATCATTAATTTTTTTTTAAAGGCGAAACTTTTGTTTCAATGCAGTGGGTAAAGTCACAGACTGAGAATTTTAAAAAAAATTAAGCCATAATAAATATTTGACCATTAAACCCAAAGGCCTCCTTTGAATTACTCAAGTTAGGTTGTGATTCTGTTAAGATAAAATTTCTTTCGACCAAACTTAATCTTACAGTATATTGCACAAGATACATCTGGGACATGGAGGTTTGCATGTTTAGGGAAGCCCTTGTACAGCCTGTACCTTTTTATATTTTATTCATTACAGTATCCAAGAAGCCTTGTTTAGAGAGTGACTTGAACAACTCTAGCAAACAGTCACTTGCCAAACCCCTGCCTTACATTTTTCCCTTTAATCAGCTCAGTGCATTCTACTTTCTTTTCGTTTATTTTTTTTTTTTCATTTGAAACAGGCAAAACATTCTAAATCTCTTAAACACTTTCATTACAATAAAAAGAGCTAACAAATTTACAAAATTAGTTTTAGTTACATCAATACATGTACAAGAAAAATTAGAGAAGGGATTCAAAAGAAAAGCATTAAATCCCTGAAAAAAAAAAAAACAAACCAAAACAAAAAAACCCAAGAATAATATATTTAACCTACAACAGCTTTACATACACACAGGTGACACGTTGGCATAGGAGAACATGAGCTGAAATATCCCTGAATTTTTAGAACAAAAAAAAAAAAAAGTTGAAGTTCAAGTTATACTTGCTAAAATGTCAAGTATTGAGAGTTTATTTTTTTGTTGGTTTTTTTTTTGTTTGTTTGTTTTTTTCAAAGGCTATTGGGGGAAAAAGATGGTATACAATATATAAACTTTCACACTCAGTTCAATATCCTATTGCCAAACTAGTGTTGAGGTATATGACAAGTAGGAACATCACTCAAACCTTTTAATGTATTTTTAGCTCACATTATGATATATTTGTAGCAGGCTGAGTAGCACCATGATGTGAATTCAGCTCAAAACCCAAATATATATAGATTTAATATTTTTACAGTACTAAAATACTAAAGCATTGCGTTAAAAAAAGTTTTGTTTACAATTTAATTTACTATACAACTCTCCTGCTTTTTTTTTTAATAGAAATTAATGATTTAAAACCACCACAGCAAGCCAGCTGCCTAGTTTGTTTTTTTTTTTCTTTTTTTTCTATTTAATCAACGGAATCACACAGAACTAACCCTGTTTCATTCATCTTGTGTAGGCATCGGTCTGCTCAATCTTCCTGGAAAAGAGGACACTCGCACCGAGAAATGACTGACACCACAATGTACATAATTATCAACACAAAAGCAATCTGCCATTCGATATTTGAGGAGCGTACAGATCTTGAAAAACAGCAGAAGCCCAAGCTAGCTAGTTGTAGTCTGTCACATGCTGCTAATTATTACCTGTGGTTAATATAAAATTCGTTCCTTAAAACTGTACATATTTGAGCAATGAACTTGTCATAATAATTGTAGAAAACAGTTTACAGTATAGCTGTGTGAGATGAGCACCAGAAAAATGTGTTTTGTGAACTAAAGTATTCCCTTATATCCAGTAAGCCCCATTTTTACCATAACTGACTGTATTAAAAATGGATATGTAGCCCACTAGCAGATGCACGGCTAAAACAAAAGTATTTAAAAGCTCTTTTAGTTTAAAAAAATTATCTTTGCATTTTAAAATCAAAGTAAACTCTTTTTTTTTTTTTTTTTAATGTCTTAGTACCTTAGCATTGTTCAAGTTGCCAAGCTTAGGTAGACAAAGTGCTTTTGAAACACTATTTTAAAAAAAAATATCTCTCTCTATATTTTATTGTCCTTTTCTAGGACTTGACTGGATGAGCAAAATCCAGAGGTCTTTGTAATTCCCATCTGTTAAAAAGTAAGCTTATTTTAACACCAGGTAAATTCAATACATACATGAATGCAAAGGTCCTCCCTGTTGTTGAAGAACATTTGACTACACCATTGACATTTTGTTATAAAGGCATTAACTGTTCGACTGTTAAAATAAAGACACCATTCTCTTAGATAGCACCATGGTTTTAGAATATCCAAACAAATTCAGTGTTTTGCTGTCTATTCATTATGTTTTATACTTATCTACTTTGTTAAATAAAATCAAGAGACTAATAAGTTTACAGTAAAAACTGCATGTTAAAAAGCCATAATTCCAGTATTTCAGTACATCATAGATTCAGCACCAGATGTTATTTTAAGATTCCTGCAGTTGTAATACTACAGTATTATTTTTTTAGGGTTTTTTTTTTTGCTCCTGTTCCATGACTACGCAAACTTGATGACATTAAGAGTGGCCACAGATATGCAAAACTGTAAGAAAAAAAAAAATATCCATTTGCAGATTATCTCTTTCAGTAATGGAGCCAGTGTTTTCAAATGTAAATTGTGAAACACTGTTTTGTTTTTTGTTGTTGTTTTTGCATAGGATGCTTTGGTCTTGTTTCCTACGTGCCATCTGTGACCACTTAAAAATCAGCGGAAAGTAAGTGCGATAGTGAGATTACCTCTTTTTGCTGGTGTGCTGAGGCTTTTTCCACTGATGAGTTTCACAAAAACACTGTTTTCTTCTCCACCCTTGCCTTCCCCAAAACCTATAGAAGAACTACCCTACTGACAAGGTGTTTTTTTCAAATGAGGTAACCAACAAAGGTGTGAAGTTAGATATATCGGTTGTAAGGCCCTGTAACCCGTGTAAAGGCATATGGAGATGTCGTTACTGTGGAGTCTGTGGTGACCGACAGTGTCCTTTGTGCAAGAGACTTGATGAAGCGCACGTACGTTGGCTCTGAGGGTTCGTGTGGCTCAGCAGGCTCCCGCTTTACTTTTTTGCCATAAGATTTCTGAGGCACGTAGTCTGGACCGTACTTTTCACATTCCTCTTCTTTCTCTCTTGCCTTCTCAGCCATCTTTGCCTCCCACAGAGCCAGACCGTGTTTTGGCTCATTCATACTCTTGTGCTGGTAAAAGACAAGGGATATTCTGGTGGGATGGTTCCTGTTGGGATTTTTTAAGGGGGTCGTTGCGTGGAGCTCACGTTTTGCACACTCTATGAGAATTGACCCATGAGATGGAGCAACTGCCACTCCTCCAATTTCAGGATCCAGAAAGCTCTGCTCACTATCTGACCAGACTTCATCGGGATCCTCTGTTTTTTCTGGATTCAGCACATCAGTTTTATCTAAACCACCCTGGGGAGTAGTCCTATCATGGTTTTGACCTGGAAGCATATTAGACAAACCGTTAACTGCATGTGAAACCATTTCGCTATCCTTATTTTGGAGATGCAGTGAATTAGGAGGACCACTAAAGATGCTTGGAGCAGAATGGTAGTCATGTGCTAAATGTGGAGGGGGTTGCACGTGTTGGTGTTCACTGGATTTACCCGTGGAGGCATAGTCTATGCTTGGATTACTCAGATTAGATTTTAACCTTGAGGCGACCTCCATAAAATGGCCGTCAGCCTCATGGGTGGAGTAGGAGGAGAAAGACCCTATGTGGTGTACATTTGGTCTAACGGTGCAATTACTGAAGGAGTCTACCTGCATATTTTGGTTTCCGTAATTCAAGTACTTGGGACCAAAACTCTGGTTATTCCCAAACCTATGCTGGTATAATGTTTGAATGGGTGGTAGGCTTAGTTTAGACATATGGTCTTGGCTCTGGCAACTGTACAAGTCCATGTGCTGATGCTGGGAAGGGTAGGAGCCCAGGTAAGAGGAGCAGTTGTCCATCGGTATGTTCCCATTACATTGGTAGGGTGGATATTGGTTATTTTGACTTAATGATCCTGAATAAGGGTTCATGGGACTGGAAGAATTCAAATAAGACCCCGCAGGCTGTGATGAGGTTGTATAGAGGTTCATGGGACTGGACCCTCCGTAGAGATCTGAAGTGTATGAAGAGCTTGGGTAAGCACTGGCTGGGTTAGGCAGCCTTACATAGAGATTCGCAGAACCTGCACCCGAGTATGAGTTAATAGGATTTGACTGAGGGTTGTTGGGGAGAGTGCGCTGGGGATGTTGCTGCTGCTGCTGTTGTTGTTGTTGTGTGGCTGATCCTGAAAGACGTAAAAGATCTGTAGATGTGAAAAGAAAAAAAAATACAACAAATTTTTTCTTTTTTTTTTTTTAAACCCCAACAAACTGCATAATTTATAACTTTTCGTGCAACATATTTATGAAATTTCTAAGAAAAGTGTATCATATGATACGTTAACAGAGGTTCCCTTTTTTGTATCTCAACTAAAAAAAAAAAAACTTAAAAAAATTAAGAAGCTGAATAAATACTAAGGCTACTCATCCATTCTGGCATGTATCCAGTGAGATCAGATGCTAGTAGCACTGGGAAAAAGAAGACAGTGCAATCTGTTCAGAGTCACATGCAAAAAATCCAAAGAGTTGAATCATCATTTAAGTAGCCCATGAAATGGAGCATCAACAGCCGCGCACAAGGTGACCTTCTTTTCCCCAAGAATAAATAATTCTTCTCATCTATATTAATAGAACTGTCTCAACAAAAGTCCCTAGCTTTACGTACATTCACTGTGACATTCACTGATAGAACAGTTCAGTAACAAGTGAGATTAACTGAAGACAGAAGAGTGAAAACATTCGTTAAAGGGAAATGACATCGTTTACTGGTTACAACTCTAGCCTGGGTCATGGGACAGCTGACTTCTATTCATAGGTATTTCAGTGATCTTCTGGGTGGCCTTGGATGTATCACTTTTTTCCTCTCTGAAAAAGTTGCTGTAATAATCAAATAGTCATGATGAACTCCTTTGCTCAGGACTCTCAGATCTACTGACGAAAACTGCCAGGGATTGTTAAGTGGATTTTTAAACTTACTCCACTATGGAAAAACCTCCTCTGCTTTTGGTCTTGAAGCAGAGAGTATAAATAGTGGTAACGAGGTTAGGCTAGAATCCCCTTAAATTAGGAGGTTCTCTGTAACAGTGGCAGACAGTGAGCGATGTGTAGGTCATTCTTTCTTTGGCAGAAGCATCACACACTTCTTTTTATGGCTTCTAGCACTACTAGTCTTTTAAAAGTACTTCACAATACACCAGATGGCAAGCAGAGTTTGCAAAGCACCAGACTCGTACAGGTGTTAACTATCCAGCAATAAAGGATTTCTCATACAACATAAACTTTTTTTTTTTTTGCTTCTCCAGTGTTGACCACAATTTGGCACTCTATAAATATACAATTTTGTTATTTACTTTCAAGAATTCTCTTTCCTTTTTACTTGAAAATGTTCTTGGGTTGAGAATAATGGTTTTCTTGAGACTCGTTAGAAATGAGCCTGATTTCTAAGAAGCTTACCCCTGTTGACAAAGATCCCGACCAGACTGATGTGTTTACCTGCTAGCTGCTTTGCATGACCTGCGGCCTCAGAGCTGCCTTGCTTGTTGCGTGCTGCAGCAGACTTATCTCTTTCAGCTTTGCTAGACCCATTCTCCAAGGAGGAGAGCTTTTCTGCAGCTGCTTTCTTTGCTTCTAGCTTCCTTTGCCGACAGGTCTTAACGGGCTCTGCTAACATCCTGACTTTCCGGCGAAAGGAGGTAAGGACCTGGATGCTGCCGTTCCTCTTCTTCTCCTCCTGGCCTTCAGTGCTTCCGAACTCATCCACATCAGAGACTTTGTACAATGGGAGCACGTGGAGCTGCTCGTCTTCTGGTGTTTGGCCAATTTCACGATTGTCTTCTCTAGTTAGTGTGCAAACCTGTTGGGAAGGTGTGTTAGAGTAACTCTCTCAAACCAGTCTGAGATTAAGAGGTCCGAAATACTAGCCTTGCCCTGCCACTGTCGGCATTGACATCTGGCAAGGTATTTGCAAACTGCAAGTTTCTGTGCAATTTATGCATATTGCGACAAGCCTGTGGTTTCATATGTATCTGTTCCTTGTGCTGAAATGACCGGTATAGTCAGGGATTACCCTAATGTGAGACAAACTCTGTGATCCATTGTACCATGGCCAGAGAGCTAAAACAGGGGAACCTGGGATCTTGTACTCACCTGAAGATTTTTTCACTATAATACATTAAGTAGCTACCTACTAGAAGTAGTGTGGAACAGAACACACTGCCATTGTATTTCACAATCCCTTACAACGGGAACTTCCCGGCCTTCGCAAAGGAGCCAATTACCGTAATGTCAATAATAAGATTTAAGGAAGTTACTGTTGTGTCATGCAGCACACTCACTGTGTTGGCTCCAGCTAAAATATATTGGGAGGATCTCAGTGAAAAAAAAAAATGCTGATACAGACATATTCTGTAGCAAAATCATTGCATCAGCCAGTTTTAGGAAGAAAGCTCAGCCAGAAATATATATTGTATTGGTGATGGTTGGCTTGTCAATTAAGTCAGACCCTGGAGACGGGAAAAATTTAGTTGGTATTTAAAAAGCAGATATTCTCTCTGGTTGTAGTAAGAGCTGCACAGTGAATCTAGGTAGTTGCTTCAGATTACAACTATTATTATTATTCAGAACTGATGATTATTCTTTCTCATGTGTACCCCAACTGTATTGTCACAGAGAGTAGGCAGGAAACAGAAATAATCCTACACATTGAAAAGCAGCTTATTTTTCTGGTATCTTCTACCGAACCTTTGCTGTACGTGCTAGAGATCAGAACTGAAGAGGGTAAAGGGCACACATGCAATACAAAGGATGGCAAGGCTTGCAGACTTTCTGCTCATCTCAAGCAGGAACGAAATCCACAACTTCCAAAACTTGCCTAGAGAGAAGTTTTTTCTTTCCATTTTTATTTTATGAGAAGATAAACCCCAAAGTTCCTAGAAAAAAAGTGTTTCAAGAGGACAAATACAAACCATTTTGTGCCAGGAATGCTGAAACAGGCACTTCAGCCCTGCTGGGACCTTCCATTGTCTCCATGGTTTCTCTTTTACCAGTTCTATATTAAAACTTTTATTTAATACACCATAAGTCTCACTCATTTGAATGAAAAATTGTGTAGGGAGTAATAAGTTAGCTCAATTACTGCTTAATGCTTCTTTTTTTTAGCAATCTGTGTTATGCAAGTATAAATTTAAACTGATGGGAGATAATGACTTAAATATATGAAATTAGTGCTGGAGTAAGGAAGCTGTATGCATGACGGACTTACCAGCGTACTCCCGTTCTGCATATTGTGCAAGTCTCTGTGAGCATGAGCACAAAAATCCAGGCAGGCAGTAACTCCTGAGAATGGGCGACCTTCTTTTAAACCCAGGCGACACTCGGGTGCTCTGTGTTCATACTCGATCTGGAAAGAGATGACAGGTATCACTGCAACTGACCTGGATGCTCCAGTCCACAGAATGAGCACTGAATGCTCTGCTGTTGTCACAGCATCTTGTGATGCCCCAACATCTTGGAGGTGGCAACATACAGGTCTTGAAGGCAAATGAAATCGAGCAATGTGATGGCAATTTTGTATCTGCACTTCACTCCTTGCTGCTTTGTTCCCTGTTACCTTCTGACTCTGGTGTGACTGCGAAATTGGCCAATAATACTTTTCCTTGCGTATTGCTTTTGATTCTGTGCCAGTGGTTGGTGTTTTTACATGACAAATGCAGCACGTGGTTTCAGCCTCTGGCACTGCAATAGTGATGTGTTTGTGTAGATGGGAAATATACCAAGTTATTAAGGGAAAATGGCTTTATAAAACTGACTTCAGAATGACTTCATGAAAATAATTTGCTTTTTAATTTGTAATATTTTGGCATGCTAAACCTATATTTCATTAGCTTAAGTAGAGCTCTAACCCCGACCAAAAAGAGAGAGAACTCAGTCAAGACAGTACTGTCTACCCATGCACTCGTTATTAAGGAGCTTGACAAAGAGCTGATAATGCAACAACAAACCTTACACAAAAAGAAAGGATTTTTTAATGGAAGATCAAGCCTTAGACAAAGGGCGGTTTCATATTTTATTTAGAAAATTAAAAATGAAACCATGCTTGTAAAATGCTTTGCTGAAATTCCTGAACCTTTCAAGTGAATGCAAAAAAATCTACAATTAATGGATCCCATTTTAAGCTAAGGTGAAATTAGAGGTTTTGCCAAGTCTTGATCCAAGATCACTAAAAACATGTCTAGTTTGCTCACAAACCTTTATTTTTAAAATTTGGAATATTTACTTCCTTAGAATCTGAAAATAAAAGCAGAACAAAACTTGAAACAAGTAACTTGTTTGGAATTAAACAAGAATGGTCTGAAACATTAGCCAGACTATAATTGCCTCATTAAAGCATACTGGTGCAAGTGTTCTCTGAGATATTCTGTTGAGTCCAGCTGGAAAAACAGACCCAATTCTAGATTTGAATGCAGTAGCACTCCAGGCTTGGATGAGAATAGATTTGGGAATTTGGAGTTTCTTTTCAGGGTTCAAAGGGGGATTGGTTTTAGGGCTTTTTGGTTTTAGAACCTTTTACAGTACCATACAAATGAGGCCTCAGTCGTCTCTCTTTAAAGCCACTGACAGGAGCTTGATCAGGGTTTCCCCACGAATACAAGATCTGCATGAAGCTCTTGAAGTAGGCCAAGCTATACACACGCCTTATTACACAAGGTTAAAAACTGAAACTTGTAAAAGCACATATGTTCAACAAGTGTCGGGCAGGACCACAGTTTACATGCAGAAAAGCTATTTTGTGAATTTTTGTGGGAAAAGAAAAGCAGCCCAAGCAAAGAACCACTTTATTGTTCACCACCCCCTCATTTTTTCTTCTTCCTCTTCCTTTCTTCTCTTGCAGAATGTCTCTGAGATACTTGGACAGATAACCACAGCTAATGGGCACACGGCCACGGTTTCCACCGTAACGAGTCTCCAAACGTTATCTGATCCAGCACATGAAATTGGGTGAGTCTGTGCGGAATCTGCTTACCCTGTCTAGTTGCTACTACATGTGCAGTAAAGGAGTGAGTTTTATGGCAAACAAAAATGGACAGTTTTGTGACAGTTCACTGCTTCTGTTACAGTTGAAAATCTTGAAAACCTGTCTTGTGCTGGTTGCTACAGCATTATGCTGTCAACAGGAAAGAAAGAAGATGATGTATTTTGTAGCGATGCTGATAGTTTGGAGACTGTAATTCTGTGAATGGTAGTGAATCTGAGCAACAAGTATGTGTTTGCAAGGGGTATATTGTTAAATTTTGATGTAAATATCTGAAAGATGTTTGGGAAAGGAACGCGAATGAGAGACAGCCACAATGGGGAATCTCAAAAGAGCTTTGAATGTGCTGGTATCTGTGAACACCGCTTCAGAAAATCTGCACGCACGGCCCCCTCACGCAAGAAGGCCGGTGCAGGCGCTTCTGTGTATATGCGAGACTGTGTTCAAATATGAAACTTTGTTTAAAAGCATGGTTGTAATGGCTATTTTGGTGAAAACTAAATTCATCTGCCACTTGAGAAAGCAGAACTCAAACTGTGCCTTCAGGATTCAAGTTCAATATGATACTTGACTTCTGACACTGTTGCCAATCTCACGCCGTCTCTGTGGCTGTTTTGCTAGTTAGCTGGTGAATCAGCTAAATCCAGAAATCTGTGTTGTGGAGCTGAAGAGTTCTGCTCAAGTGTGGAGTCATTTTACTGTGTTGATGTAGGTGAAAAGATTAGTTCTGTTTAGTGGACCAAATTCTGCTAGCTTTACTTTTCAAAGCATTTTAAGTGGAATTGTTCATTTCTGTTTGTCTTTACCCCGATGTTAAAGGAACACTGGCACAATATCTACGTAATTGTTGGGTGCAAGGTTGAAGCGTTGGGAAGCGTGATAAAAATCAGGTTATTTCCATGGCTGTGCTGATTCCCTTTTTCCCCAGCATACCTGGTTGTTATAGGCATCAGGTGCAAGCTTCTTGTAGGTAGGTGCCATCAGGGTTGACAGATTCTGCAAATTGGCTTCTAGTTTTTCTTCCTGTTAGGAGATGAAATAAGAGTTCAGTGACATTTCCATACTGTATGTACGGGATCTAAGAAATAAGAGTGTTTATGCCATTATGTTTACATTGATAGTTGCGTAAAAGCCTAGATGGTTATTGTTCTTGGTTAGTCAATAAGTGTTGTGAATCTCCATTTTATTGTTTCACAGCCTTTAGGGTAATGAAGCAGTAGCGTAGTGTGAAATTTGCAAGAGGACATCACATACTATAATTTTAATTTAGTTTATATTAAGAAGAATCACATTCTTCAACATGGAAATGTTTTAGATCTGAGTGTGGTGACCCTCATTATTTTCCCTGTTGGAGTTCTGGGAAAATAGTGCTGTTCGGAAAGCTTGAGAGAATATATCAGAAAGGTCCATCAAGTAAATCCGGCTAATTTAACGGGTTTGTGCATTGCAATGACAGCACTTCGACACACTGAAGTATCTTTTCATGCAGCAATTTAAAATTATTTAAATATTTCAGATTTCAAAAAGTTCCCAATTGTCAAGCAATGAGGAATTGTGGACATGTCTAGCAGTTGATGATGTGGAGGTAGGAATGACCACTTTTTTTTTTTTTTCTACAAGGAGAGGTACACACTCTCAAAATGAAAGGCTCCTTAAACATGAAGTACTCTAATAACATACTCCAAAATTGTTCCCCATCCTCTCAGGATGAGAATCCCAAATTCAAAACCTTGCTTATATGAGGCCCTTATTTTTAATTTCAAGTGCATAAAGAACGGTGGCATAGTGGAGTGGTATACTTGTTTTTAGGAGTTTGTATATTTTAGGAATGTGTGAAGAGCTGTGAAAAACCTCCAGGTTTGAGAGAGACAAGTGTTTGTACCTCCTGCTGTGGGACTATATCCTAGTTTGGGACTCCAAAATGACATTATGAAATTGTCAAAAATATCTCACTGTGACCTGCTGCTGACAAAACTTGGGAGCTTTTGTACGGCGCATAGGTTACCACTTGCAAGTGTTACTTCTGGTTTTTATTGGTGAGGATCCTATTCGTATTGTCTATAAACTGTGTCTATGCTCTGGGACCCAGCGCCTGGGTGCGTGCCCTGTCTGCCCCCAGCTTTGTGTGGGAACAAGACCGCATGGTCAAACCATCTTCCCTGCCCAGCTCTGGCTTTCATGGGAAGTAAACCCAGGAATGCAAGTTGGAAGAGAGCCCTGGTGGGCTCTGGCCAGGTATCCAGCTTAGAAAATTTAGGGGGTTTAGGATTGCAGGCTATGATAAAGAGGGCTTTGTGCCACAGCGTGACTGAAGGGAGAGGTATTACGTAAGTCTTGAGGCCGTACAAGAGCAGTGGGGAGGACAACCTGTATGTTACGATGATATTCTAAATAGTGTGCTATCCTCAGCACAGGCCATAGGATGCCGAAGTACCTGGCTCTCTGATAACGTGGAAGGAAATGCTTGGATTTGTGTGAGACACCAGAACACAGTGAAAGCTGTGGACCTATGTGTCGTTAAACAAGCGAGGGACTCAATTTGCATGTGCTTGCCAAAAACCAGCCTGGACCATTGGAGCCTCCCAGACACACGACTGGCTGGAGGTGTCCAGGAGTCACTGCAGTCATAACTTCAAAGGTATCTTGTGCCCAGGCTGAGGTCAATGGTTTTTTTTTTTATTACTCTGACTTGTTTTAAACAGCTGCCAGTTTGCTGTAACACAGAGCCCAGTCTGGAAACATTCAGTGGGGCAAGACTGTATGTAGAATAAGTCTTCCTATTGTCATCTCAGAGTTTCGTCATGTTTGTCTCCATGCAGGCTGCCCTCGTTCCCTGTTCCGTGCCTTCAGCTGGTAAACTTTGTGCTTTGCCACTGGGGAATGCCCAACTGCAGGCATAATACAGCCACGATTGTTCAGGCCGTGCCCTCTTCTCTAATTCTGGTTTCAAGACTCGGGGCTTTTACCAGCTGCCAGAACTTGGCCAGCCAATTCATCTGGCTCAGTGACTGGAATCAATCAGTTTTGACTGGCAGTTATTTAATTACCCTCCATGTATGCTATTCAGGCAGGGCTCTGGCCCCTGGCCTCCTGTACTGTATCTCTATTTGCGGAGTGACAGAAAACATTTCCTTGCAAATGAGGCTCATGTTAGAAATGGACACCAACCTCTTTTGGGTCATCCCCCATCAGCTTAAACTTTCTTGGAATCTTGCTTCTGGCAAACTTACAACCATTGTAGTACATGCTCCAGGAGCAACCAAAGGAAAATGAAGCACCACAAGTTTCAGGGTCCAGCCCTTGACATGCGCAAGTCCGCCTAAAAAAAGAGGAGAATATGGCTGTTAGCAGCAGGTGGGTCACCCTGGGGTGCTCCCGCAGCGGGCATCGGCGCTCTGCCAGTGCTCTGGGAAATTACTGGTCTTGGCTTGTCTTCCATCAGTAAATAGTGAAGAAATGAAAGAGGGAAGCCAATGCATTATAACGGAAGAATTTATTGGAGTGAATAATGTCATGGTTGCAGAGCAAGGCCTATGAGCTTTCTACCACATCCATGAGAAACCTGGTTTTGCTCGAAAGAGGGTATGTTTGTGTGGTGCCTTGCTAGATGGTGATATCCATGGTACCTGAAAGGGGACTATGCTGACAACACTGCAAGAATGTGGGAGCCCTCTGACAGCGGCTAAGCAATAATTCCTGAAATATGACTCTACCCATGAAACCAAAGCAACACACAGTGATAGCTATGTTAATTTTGGTCTAAATGTTCTTTGCTATGAGAAAGACACGGGGAAACAATACAATGCAACTACTTTAGATTCAGGCTAGCTTCTGTAGACTTACAGTATGATTTGGCACATCTCGAAATAAATTTCACGGTTGAGGTATCTGCTGTCCTGGGCCCTGGTAAGATCTCTTCCTTTAAATATACTGAGATGCTTCACAACTCTGGGAAGATGTTTTTCCCTGATTTATAAGAACGTTTACTTTGTTTTTCTCACGAGATTTGTGCATTCTCAAACTGCCTGAAATAGTTGGGAAGGTTATGCATATTTCAGGGTAACAGCACAAGCGGAGGTGCTAGGTCTGAGGCTGAAGGCGGGGTTGCAAGTTTGGGGAGCATACACTTTGTTCCACTTACTCTTCATTCAGGGCGCACCGCCGGTTTGTGAGCGTGCCGTACTTCCTCAGGGTGTCAGTGAGTTCAGAGTAGAGCTTGTCAGCCAGGCTTGTTGGTATTCCCTCCCAGACCAGGATGAGAATCACGATCACGGCAGTCTCGCACGTGTGGCCCGCTCGCTCACGCACCAAGCAGAGTAGCTTTTCCTCCTGACTGCTTCTGCGGACTACCTGCATGCACAGCAACACACAACCCCAGAGCCCCAACACAAACAACGCAGTTCTTAATGCGAAGAGCAGGAGAATAGGAAACCTCAGCATCAGTGTGCGCGTGGGGAGCTTACTTCTGTCTTCCTCTTTGTTTCTGGCAACTTGGACAATTTTCTCATTGATATGGGCCAGGGTGACTCTTTCTGTTCAATGAAGCAGGCTTCAAGAGGCTAAGCTTGACGGATGGCATGGAAAGTCCATGGCGGTGGAAGCCAGCTTTATAGAGGGATCCCCCACGCTCTGATTCTGCAGAAATATTCTCCTGAACCCGCGCTATGGTACAAGGGGCCCAGTTTGATTAGTGGGCAAAAGGAAGGGAGCTGTGAGGTGCCTCCCTGCACAGAGCTGGACGGTGGACACTTGCGCTGAGGGTAGGAGCCATGCGGGAAAGGCAGGCGGCTAAGGAAGGGACTAAATCACTGGACATGGGAGCTCTCTCCCTTTCCCTCCCAAAATTAAGCAGCTAAACTTGTAATCAGCCACTCAGTTTTGTGACCTGATGAGAGGAAAGCAGTAGATGTTCAAATAAGACTGTCCTTGCTTCTCAGTACTTGTGCTACTGTGGGTATTTCCAAAAAAAACCAAACCATGCAGTCATTAGTCTTAACATTTGTATACACCACTTACCCATTTAGCAATTGGACATCCTTGAGAACTTTTGCCTTCTTTCCCAGTGTAGACAACCCTCTCAATCCTTATAGCTTTACCCTTCTGTCCAAATCTTAAACAAACAAAAATACGTACAATAAGCAGATTAATTTGGTTCTGCGTGAACACTGAAAAGATGGAGCACATTTTTCAGTCTCATCTTAGAAAATTAACACAATGAATTACAGGGAGGGATGTGCAATGCGGTTTATCCTGATGATTTTATTATCGTGGTGGATTGACACGTTAAGAGAGGAAAACATTTTTAATACATCACATATGAGTAAAAATTACCCATATCATATTAATATTCACTAACTTTTTAACTGTTTCTGTAGGGAACTTGTTATAGATGACATTCTGAAAAGTGGACTTGAAGTCTCTTGATTTTGGGGAGGAATTTTACATTTTTCTTTAATTTCTGGGTTAAAGTTATTACTCTGAAATGTACATAATTAAGTTGTCACGGAACAGCTGGCATGCAGTAGTCACTATTAATTTTCTGTGCTTGTTTCTGGCTTAGATACAGTATAAATCAGTTAAGTCATGATTAATTTGCATCACATCTATTTCCTTTATCATCCGCTCATAAATTGTTACTTATTTACTTCTGCCTGACTTCTATACTGCGTTAGTCACAAGGTGCCCTCAAATGATGCAGTTTGTGTGTGTCTTTGCGACCAAGGCGGGCAAGCTCAGCTCTCACTGAAGCATTTAACAAAGGTGATTATGCCAATCTAGCCCCACATGCTGTTGCCCAAAGCAAATGGGATCCGCTTTCCACATCCTCCGATGGACCACGTGGAAATATGTGGCAAATGCTAAGTGAAGCAAATCTTAAGTCTTGAACCGGTAAAAAGCATCAGACCAGTTAAGCCATTTCCAGGCACGTCCTCTGGCCAGGCCTGTCCCTGGGCTGTGGCAGCTGGGGGGTACCCACCTGCTGAGCCCTAGAGCACACTAGGTCTCAGGTGAGGCTGTGTGGTAGAAACCTGGGTGTCTGCAAGGGTACAGATCCAGCAACTGTGTTGACCTGGTTACGTTTTGTGGACTGGGCAAATTCCCCTTCCATCACCATTTCCTGATTTCTGCTGCTCTCATTGGTGTTACCTTTTTTTTGTGTATTTTTTTGTTTTGTGTTTTTTTTTTTAAATAATCAATTGTGGGGACTAAATCACAATCTCCTTGTTCTTCGCCTGTTGCCTATAGAGCAATTGAGATAGTTCCTTCCTGTTCTGCAGCCATTTAACGATGCCTTGAGAACTTTCGACCTTCCATCCCTCTTGTTTTTGCACTAAAATCTTGGTGACATATTTAAGAGCAAATATTTGTATTTAAACTTCTGTCCTGTAAAGGAAATAAAAAATCCTTATTTTCAGACGTGATCTCATTATGAAATTTTAGTGTCACAGGAAATTATACAAATAAAATCAAGTTGTACTACACGTGTTCTGCAGGCAACTGTTAGGTCACTTTTTCCTACTTAGGCTTGGATGTTAGTATACATTTGTTTCTTTAAACTTCTAAATCTCAACATTTTCTATCAATTTGCTGTTCTGGATTGCAAGACAACTGTGGGGGTGCTGCTATAGAAAAGTGTTGTACATTACACACTGGAAATGATATGGACTTTGTCTGAAATCTTTTCAACTGTCACAAAGGATTTGTGCCTGATGTTTGCCGTCCTTGCTTTCAGGGCAAAGCTGAGTGGCTTCAAAACTGGAGCAACACTCACTGAGCATGAAGTAGAGGTTGGGAGAAGGAAGAGGTGAAATGTATGTATCCACCACAGATTCTGCAAGAAATTAGTTCCAGTATAGCTAAAACATTATCTGCAAGTCTAAATCCAAATCCTGGTTTGTTTGGCAGTGCTGATACTGTAAAAGTCGATCCATATTCATGGGAAGACAGTTTAAAAGTGCTTCAGTTGTGATTGGTGTCACCAACTGCACACACGTGCTTAAGAGTATCTTTATAGTATTTTTTTTTTTTTTTTTACTTAGGGATACAAAATAAACTACCGAGGAGTTCTGGAGTTCTTCAGTCAGGGAATCACACAGTTCATACCGTATGAACAGCTGAAAACTAGCCATTGTTCAAGTGGCTCCTGCTATACTCTGGTGGACCTGGCTGAGTAGATGCATGTTATCTATAATCTCTCAGGATTTCCTTCTGCCAACGTGAAATGAAATTAATTGAAAAAAAAAAAAAAAGACAAAGGAAAAAGAAAAAAAAAAAAAGAAAAAAGGTGAGGTCAATATTAAGGATGAAAAATTGCATTCCAAAGCAAAAAATGGAAAAAGTTTCAACTCTAAAAACTGACATCATGACGTGAATGACTTCCCTCTTTTATTTGTAAATATTAAAGAATTAACCAGTCAGTGAGAGCTCTGGAGATAACAAATTGTAAGCAGCTTCTCAGGAGGGTCAGTGTTCAGCCCCCCTTTGCAGGAAGAAGCTGATTTATGTAGCTTACGTGCATTTGAGCTGCTCACAAAGCTGAAAGCAAGTACTGGGGCAAGCCCTGCACAGGAGTCGCAGGGAAGGAGGTGCTAAAGGCAAAAGGACCTCAGGACGTAGAGGTAATCCGAAGGGTTTAATATGCCCTGAGTGGCCCATGCTTATGCAGTGATGAGCAGAAACTGACAGACTTTGCTAAGAAATGGCGCTCCTTAGCTCAGACACAGCACTGCAATCATACCCGTTTGCTTTTGGTTCTGCAACTAGCTGGAGCTTCTTTGCAGTTCTGGAGTCCAGATTTTTAAGGTATTAACAAATCAAATTCTGATTTACTGGGGAGCTTTTTGTTTGCTTGTTTGTTCAGAGGGGAACTGAATGCCCAGATACCTCTAAAAATCTGGTCGTTAATGTCTATGCATGCCAAAAGTTACAAGAGATGCAGAATTCACAGTGCATAAGTCACTTTTGTGACAGTTTTTAATTCAAATACTTAAGAAAGGCTGGTGGGTTTTGTGCTTACACACATTTTTAAACAGAATAGGTCATGTATCTATTCTGTGCTGTTCAAAATTCCTGGTTTGGTTGGCTTTGATGTAATAAATATACCACCGCATGCAACACGATACAGGGATTGTCCACAATCAAGATAAAGCTGGCTTTGTGCAATACTCCAACGAAGGGGGATGTTTTTTCACAAAACTACTTATCAATTCTTGGTCTGAAATCCTATCCAACAACTTTGTGGCACTCCTCTGGATGTGGCCAAGTGAGATTTAGCCCTTTAAGGTTGTACTGTATACTTAGAAATTTGGTGGGGGGAGCTAATTTTGGAGTTTGGTGTTCTGCTCTTCATCTTCCTCCTACCTTGGCATTCTCCTACCCAGAGGGAACACCAGGTCCGTGCCTGCGTTTGCAGCCATTGCCAGCCGTCCTGCTTGGCAGGCTGGTGACTACTTGTTCCTGCTTGGGTTTGCTGGCATCTGTCTCAAAGCACGCAGCCTGTGCCAGCCAGCAGACTATTAGCCCTGTCAAATATTGTGACTCTCTGGTGAATAGCGTAGTGCGTAATGTTGGCAACACTGGAGTAGCTAAGCCTACAAGTAATTACTTGATTTGCAATTGTTTATTTCTTTATGTGCAAAAGCTGGAAAAATTCTGACATCCACAAAAGGATAAACGTTAATCTGCCCTGTGCCTTTGCACTAATTACCTTTCTTCCATGATTTCTCTAATAGCTGCCACATTAGGACCGGCTCCTAGATGGGTATAGAAAGGACCTTCATCTTTTTCAATAATTTGCTCTGTTTAAAACAAAATAAAGGTTGTTATTATCAAAGCTTAATTCTTTCAAGTCACATTGCAAAGCTTACATCTAGCTCGATAGAACACTGCTGTACAGGTCTGGGGTCAGAGTTTTCAAGCACTTTTATGTCTAAAGTATGCCCACGCAACTTGTACAAAACATGCAAAGCACGTGGCTAATCCTGCAAATAGCCGTGATATGGACTGTGTGCCTTTCGCTAGCACAAACAATTGTTTCACATCTCGGGCTCTACACTGAAATTCAAAAGGCATTTTCCTGTTATCACCGAGCAATTGTTTCTCCTTCTGCCACTTCCTCCTCTCCCAGTATCTGGAAAGAAGGATAAATGGGATGAAAACAGTAAATATTGACATTAGTGAGCTGTACATACTTGTTTTTCAGCAGACATGTTACAGTGTAGGAACTTACAGCTTGAGAAAGTGGCTAGTAAGGTTACATAGAGAATTTCTGCCACCCACAGAAAGACTCTGTGAAATGAAAAAAAAGCAAGTTTGCTGAAAGAAATCCTGTGCAAGACTTAGTCAAAATGCTTGTATGCTAAGAACGTGGCCTCAGTTTTCTGTGTGTAGGTAGGACCACGTCAGCATTGACAATCTATGCTATATGTTTGGTTTGATACCAGGAGGCAGGCTCTAGCAGTGAGAAAGGTGCTGCTTGGGTTCAGGAGGAGATGGTGGAGCTGTGCTGGCTTGTCTGAGGGCTGACTATGCTTTGTGCCACACTGAGTCTGAAGGCTGGATGAGGTGATGCTGCTCTTGACCTACAGCCTCCAGAAGAACGAAGAAGGCGTGCTATAAACCTGAACATGTCGATGGGGGAATGGCTTAATTTAATCTTCCTAAGAACACGTATTGGTAGGAAAGAGCAATAAACCTTATTGATTATGCTGTGGCACTGTGCTCTTCAAAGAGGACAGGAACTAAGTTTCATGCTCCTTTATTTCCTAGAGGGTCTGCCAAGACTGAAGAATTAAAATGCAAGTAGAGAACAAGCTCTTTTGCCTCGTTAGAAGTTGCAGTACTGGCTGAAAAAAACAGTGAGAATAATGAAATGATTTCCAGAAAAACCTGTGCCAACTGTATTGGAGAAACAGTCTCAAGAAAAAAAAAAAAAACCCAAACAACTTCAGTGTTTTCAAAAAAACTACATTTTGTAGGTTGTTTCTCACAAAACAATAAGGAACATCGAGAAACTGGCTTGTAGTTTTCTTCCTGGGAGTTTTGGAAATCCATTACCTCCTCTTTTTGTTCCCATGGATCATCTCTGAGACACAGTCAGTGCTGTATTGGAAGCTCAGGCTATGGGACCATGCCTGTCACGCTACTTTGCTTCCCTCTGCTCTATTCTTCCAGTTTTTGGAGATCAGGTATGCTAGGAAGGAACACTGAGGGGACCCCTCACTGCTTTTTTGGCACTGCTTGCGTAGCTTCTCTAAGAAACTGCTGATCTCTTTAGCCTTGCAGGAGACACGTGCATGAAAGGGAGGATAAACTCTTGCAGCAAGTGAGGAATAATCTGTCTTGGAATAATTTCTTTGCTTAGGCTTTGCTGAGGGAAGCTTCAGCAATTTCACTATTAGAGCAAAAAATGCTGTAAGGATCTCAAGTTTTGGACGTGGGAAATATTTTATAAATGCTATTATCTAACCTTGATGAATAAGTTAGATTATAAAGTTACGACCTACTTTTTATCAGCATGTTGTCATTACGTGTCTGCTGCTCAAGGAGAATGGATGTGAGGGGATAAGTTACTGGCCATAAGCATTCTGACTGAGAAAGCAAAGAGGTGATTGCTTTATGAAATATTGAGGAAGGGGCCTGCGTGTAGGGTTGGATGAGTGGAGTTAGGTGTAAGTGTATAAAACTGCAATTTTATAAGTATTTACTGTTCTAAAAAATCTAACTCAAAAAACCCCCCAACAAAAAACATCCAACTAACCCTGCGCTCCCAACTTGAAGGCTCATACGACATGTTTAGTACATCTCAGCACTTACCAACACAGCTGCAAGATGGGAAATCATACTGGGTTTTGGCAGGTGTGTCCAATAAATTTTTTACAGGAGTATCCAATAACTTGGAAGGTGAGTCTAAAAAATTATTGAGAACAGTTCCAGCTGTTCTTTTGGTCGGGGTTTTCTCAGCAGACAAGTTTGCTTGTTGATCTAAGATTGGGGTCTGAGTGTCAAAATCTGCAGCACTGGTATTTCTGGACAGGATGGTAATAGGGCCTGCTGTTTCAACCTTCACATGTTTAGGTGATCTGATAGTAAAAGTCCTGTGATCAAACAGTGATTTGACCTGTATCTGTTTTAGCTGCTGTTCCATTGTCTCGATGATGCTCTTTTGTTGCATGTTCTCACAGCCAAAGTGCTGATTCTCTTGTTTAATTGTTTTTTTCCACATTTTGTTTTCCAGCTGTCCGGCTGACGGACGCATGCAGGCATTAGACTTTGTGCCAGGCTCAATTTTTACAGGCTTGCGCACTGCACTGGGACCAATCTCGGTTTTGGGTTGCTGGTACGCTTGCTGCTCCTGTTTTTGCAAGAGAAGCCACCTTAGAGCAGCATGCTTTTGAAAATCCTTAGGGGTTTGGGACTGCAAATGACAGCTTCTCTGGTCTTGGGAGTGTGGGGCAGTTTGCTGGCTGTGTGGTAAGTACCGCTGAGGAATCTGCGTAGCTTGCTGGCTCAGGAGATCTTGGTTCAGGCTACCGCCGTAGCATTGTGTTTGCTGGGGTGGCGGTAGCTGTATAACTGAAGCTTGTTGTGTCTGTTGCTCTTGTTCTTGAAAACAGTGATTCACATCTTGCTTTGTGGTCAAGTTATTTGAAAAATACTGCACATGTTGCAAATCCTGCATTTTGTTGGCTCCAAAGCGTTCGATATTTGTGGTATTCTCCTTCTTCTCAGAAATCAAGTGCATGTTGTTTGGGCAGGGATGCTGCAGACTAGCCTCTGCTTTCTGAGTGTGAAGGGGAGCTTTGTTGTTCACGCTCTGTATCTGCTCCAGGCCTAGCTGAGGGTTATGGAGTGGGAATGCAGGTGATTTCATGTACTTATTCCCAGTTTGAAAACATTCGTCTACTTTAAGCTGATTGAAGGATGTCCTGTCTAGCGGCTGCTCAGCATTGCTTTGGGAGTGGGAGATGGTTTGGGGCAGGTCTTTATTTTTCATTTGCAGAGCCTGTTGGTGGTTTGGGGTTAGCTGTGGACTGCACGGCAGTTGTACCTGCTGTGCCTGTTTTTGAAGCATCTGTTGCAAAATGTGTGAATGCAAGAATTGCTCCTTTTCCCCTGGCTGGAGATTCAAGTGCTGCTGTTTCAAGGGGGTCCCTAAAGGCTGTTCAGCTTGTTGTTCTGGTCTTTGCTGGAAATGGAGCTGCTGTGGAGGGTGTTGCTGCACTTGGGACTTGAGTAGGGAATCCATCTTTGTGAGCTGTGGCTGCGGTGAGTGTTTCTGGAACGGCAGCTGCTGGTCAGCTGTGGGACGCGGCTGCAGCTGGGAGGTCTCGTTTTTGTACAGCAGAGGAATTTGTTCCTGTTGCATTATCTTCTGGCTCTGGGGCTGTCCTGAAGGCCCCTTTAATGCATCAGGACTTCCAGCATACTGTTTTGTATAGGCTGTTTCGGCTGTGTTTGCCTGGAACTGAAGAATTGATCGCAATAATGCTTCGCTGGGCTTTTGGGGAGGCTCTCCCTGGCGGAACTGGGTGGAAACCAGTTCTATCCAGGCTGGTTTTGAATAATGTTGAGCCTGTTGCACAGGCTCTTTCACTTGGTCCTTTTCTTTGTCAGGAGGAATCTCGGGTTCTCTCTGTCCTGGGAAATGCTGACAGTGTTGCTGCAATTCACCCTCGCTTCCGCGCGCTTGCAGGTTTTGGAGGGGAGGCTCTGACGCCGGCATCATTTCTTCTGGGCGCTGCTGAATTGAGGCGGCCGCAGCAGCTTGCGGGTTGCTTTCAGTGACATCTTGTTGTGACGTTTGTGCCTGCTGCGGAAGTCTCTGCTGAGGGTGGAGCTGTTGTTGGCTGAGGCTGGGACTTTCTAACATTGGTCCCTGCTGTTGCCCTTCATTCTTTATCTCCCCAGGAAGAGTTTCATCACATCTGTTGTCAAAGGAATGGTGTCCTTCTAGCACCATGACGGACAGTGCACTGTTCATTTCCGGAGCAGGAGGAGTGGAGGAATCTTTGTGAAACGTTGAGTTCTGTTTAAAGAAAGCACCATTGTTTTCTGCTTGCTCAGAAAACCTTTCCAGAGTGGCGTTCTGAGCTTGCAGGTTACTGCTGGAACTTAGAGAGAGGTCTTGGTTGGGAACCTGCCCTACACTTCCATGAACAGTACTGTTTCCTACAGGTAACTGCTGCGGATCATAGCCCGGAATCTGTTGCTGTAGCTGTAGTTCTGGTTTCTGAAGCGAACAGCTACCTGGCAATACAGGCGGTTTACTGGAGTCTTCTGTGTTGTAGACCTCAGCAACCACTACAGCTGGCACTTGAGGCAGCTCAGAGTTTGAGGTCTGTGGGGAAGTGATCTGCCCTGAGGTATGGGATGAATGCATTGTCTCGTAGGACAACTCATTAGTAGCCTGACTGGTAATGGCATTGATATGAGATGTGTTCTTCTGCATTGCTATGGAGACGTGTTCTGGATAATATTGAGACAGTGTTTTCTCCAGGAGTTCACCATGCATGCTTTCCATGGAAGAGGCAGAAACTGTAGCACCATTAGGCATTGGCACCGCCTTGTTCTTAAGTAGTAAGACAATGTCCCTGTTGTGGCAATGAATGTTTTTCCACTCCTGCTCATCCTGAATCAGGAGGTCATGAGCGTTTTCTGAACCACCACTGTTGTATCTTGTAGACTGTATCAAATCTGAAGCTTCATTTTCTTGCCCTGTAAAACTCTCAGGTTTCTTCTCACTGTAACAATCGGAGACGCTTGGTTTTTCATTGTTATCCTCTGGCTCAGCTTTTTCTCCATTTACCTCTTTGTCTTGTTTCACTTTCTTGCTCTCATGAAGTCCATACAGAGAGGGCTCACTAAAAGTGCGTTTTATCCCACCATTTTGCATGTATCTGGAATATACTTTCTTTTCTTGTAAAAGGTCGGGGCTAACGCGGTTGTTTGGACTTCCCTTCAGGTGGAGCACTCCATAGTTGCTTTTAACGAATAGCTGCTTGTGGTCTCCATTTACTTCAACTTCAGGCCTCTCTGTTGCTGGACTTCCATTCTGTAGCTTCACCGCAGAAGGCTCTGGCTGGCAAACGTGAGAAGATTGCGGTATTAGAAATGGACTCAATCTATTGCCGTCAACATGGTTGGTTCTGTCCTGTTCCATCTGGCCTGCTCCGGGGCCATCCACAAGGCTACCCTCTGAACGTATCTGAAAGAGAAAAGAAAAGGGAGACAATTTAAGTAAATTTTAGTTTCCATTAATGGACAGCCAATTACTGAAAAAAAACATTCACGCACCCATCATCCCGACCAGCTCCCCCACACACCGTGAGCTCGCAGGCACCCCTGGGGGGTGTTTCACTATCTTACCACATTTTGCAGCCCTGTGTCTCCCTTTTTCTTTAAAGTTTGTTCTTCAAGATGAAAAGAGAGTGAAAACAGAGAGTGGCTCCTTACCCCCATTTAACACACAAGCAGATATTTTACAAAAAAAACCCTCTCTCCTAATGGTGCAAAAAATATCCTCTGCTTTTGAATGATTTCCATAGCCTCCTCTGTCATCACTTTCGCTCCTTGGTAAGGCAGAAAGTCATGCCAAAACCATGGCTCCCAGACTTGGTGCTAATCCTGTTATTTGGTTAAGTGTGCCAAACCTCTTTTGTGTGACTTGAGGGATTACTGCCACCAAGCTTGCCAATTAGAGGGGAAAGCCTCCTTTTTTTTTTTTTTTTTTCTGTCTTCAGCTGTCTGACAAGGTCTTTGAAAAGAACTGGCATTCCTAAAGACCACGCAAGTGGCGTGATACACATGTGAGACAAAACCACGCTTGATTGCTGGCCATAGGAACTCCTACAGTTCATCAACATCTTGGTAATGTTGACAGAAACAAATCGAGAGATTTCTGAAAGGTTTGATGGAAGTGGTATTTTTTCAGGTATTAACATGCTTTTGGATTTACACGTAGACATCGAGCATGGCTTAAACTATGCATTTGGGTTTGAACTGAGCCCCACAGCTGTGGAGCTAGGTTTTTTTCCTCTTTGTTTGGAGGGATAATCCCATTTTCTTATATACTCACTATATTTTATTTATAAAATGAAGTTTTTCATTGGGTAAAAGTCCTGACAATGTACAGTGAACAAATTCCATACAATAACAAGCTAATCCTGTTCACATGGACCTTCCCAGGATTCACAGTCCCAGTTAACACAGATAAAACCCTTGTTTGACTCTGCTTGTAATTTATTCTTTGTTGGCTTTCTGGTTCTCAACCAGTCACAAATGACAGAAGGCAGACCGACAGAGGGTCTTACAGATGTGAGACTGCACAGAGAAAATTTGGACTCATGCACGTCTTTGTCCTGAAACCTTTATTTTCAGTTTGCACAAAAGGGAATCTGAAGGGTTCTCCATGCCCAGGTCACCCTGGTTGGACTGCACAGTCAGCAGCACTGCACGTGGCTGGCGTTGCCACTACATAGGAAGAACTACCATACAGAAAAATTCCTCCCATCACGGTTGCTCTGCTTATGTATTTATCCTACACTAATATTTTTCTTTTTAAATGTTATGGAACATCTAATTTATACAGTTTTCAGTGCAGTATTGCCTTACTCAGTTGATTAATATGATTCTAAAATGCTTTAAAAAGTAATATTAATAAGTGAGATTTATTACAGTCAGCAGAATACTCTCTGCTTGCAGCTCTGATCTCAGTATCAAGACAATTCAAACATACATTTTGACTGTCAAGCACCTATATGATAACTTGTGTCCACTTCCTCCTTATCTCAAATTTGGTTTTAGATTTACTTTTGACCTCCTGAAGGTTTTTTTTTCTTTTCTTTCTGTACTCAATTTATGTTTTGCATGACAGAAGTAGAGAAGTTCTCTCTGCAAGTAACAGTACTTTGAAAAAAGTTTTTGAAGGGAAAGGTAAGAATAGGGAGATGGAAAATAATGTTTGTCCATCTTACCTATTTTATTGACAAGGTAAGGTAGGCTTCTTCCCTTCTAGCTATATTTCAGTATATTTCCCAACCTAGCTTTAAAGTACCACAAGACATGAGCCTTTGCAGCCTTCCTAGGGAGACGATATTCCATGCCTAACAGAAAACAGAGTGAAAAGGAATCCTCTGATGTGTAATTCTAGGCCAGACGGCAGAATGATGCTCCCAGAGTATCTCAAAAATAAAATGCCAGCCTAATTTGGAAACCATTCTTTGCCATCACACCTTTCAGACCTAGAAACTGCAGCTGAACCACAACTCAGACATGAGTGTGTAGGCTGCTGTATTTCGCAAGGGTGAAACGAAATAAAAGGCACCGTAGTAATTAACACTGTGCTGTCAAGCTGCTTCTGAAATATTTCTTTTAAAAAAAGTTCTAGACCGTGTGATTGAGCCGTGAGAAACTTCCTCTGGCCCTCAAAGTCTGCCTTGCTGCTTGTGTTCTGGTGTACCGTGTGGGTTGCAAATAAATTCCTCCGGAGAGTTCCCAGGCAATCCTTCTTCTCAGCTTCTTACTGATAGGTAAAAACACCTTTTTGGTTAGAAGTCTCTGAACTTAGTTTGCAAACCCCTTGAAGGAGCACATCTGTGCTTCAGAAGAGAGTCTGAGGTTCACACTTTCCTCAAAAACCACGAGGTTATCTTCACTGGGTGACGTGGATTATTATTCACAGTATTCTCAGAGACCTCGTGATGTGAGTCAACCAGTTCCCTCAAATTCTGACCACCTCCAGGGTAAAAGGCATTGGTGTTAAACATTGCAGAGGACATGGGAATAATTTAATTCTTTAAAATACAAAGTTAATCCATCAAATAAAAGTGCCAGATTTGCATTCTTTGACATGCATCTAGGATTGTGGTGACTTTGTGCTATACTTCTTTCCCTCTCTGTCTACACTCAGTTATGCGCAGTCCTCGAGTCACACCCGAGTACAAATCTTGCTCAAGCAGCTACAAACCACAGCAGTTATTTGTGATTTTAAACTAGCAAAAGACAAATGGCAGTGATACCTTTATTAGTGGTTTTAACTGGGACACCCTGAAAATATTCTCGATGCTACTGCTAAGCAGACCTGGTTGCACCTTACAAAGTCTCTGCACTCTTCTTTATCATTGTTGTGGGGTGAACTGTCTGTCTCTCAAAGTAAATCTCCCTTTCCCTAAGCCTAGCAGTTAGCCTTTTTTCTCTTTCCCATAACTGTATTTTATCCAGGCCATTTAGTAGCTTCACATATTTTTCTTCAGCTATAATTCATTAGAAATTCAAGTCACATCAGCAGCATCTGTGAAACAATTACCGCATCTAGGACTGACTCCGCAGTCTAATCCATCATAATTATGACTGGCCTCTTTGAAGATGCCACGATGCGTGACTTAAATATAGCACATTGCTGTGCAAATGGATCAGCATCTCATCCCACCCATATGCATTCAAGTTATAATTCAGTCCACCACCGTTTGACTTTTTCAGATGCAAGCAATATACGTACATTTATTTCTTGCCACATATGGGCACAAATTGGAAACCAGGTACTGAAAGAGAGTTTGAGATTTGGATTTTGTTTGTTTTATGGGCAAGTTTGGCATATTTCTGCCACCTCTATCAATATGAGAATACCAAAAGTCTGTGGAAGGCATTGTTACGAGCACGACAATCATTTCTGCGGCAACAAAAGTACTCTCAGTTACGTCATTTTCTTTCATGGAAAAATCTTCCTTCACTTTTAGCTAGGTCTAAAGGTTCATACCTTATCTTCTATAGCACCTGTGTTTGGGGAGTTTGTGAATGCAAAGCAGCTCAGATGAATGAATGGACAAACACACCCACTGCAGGGGAGTACAATCTTCTGCGAAGCTGGGCAAGATTCCCAGTAGAAAAAGTAGGTGGGGGGATGCTGTGTTAGAGTACTTGTGGCCCTACAAGGACTGAAAGATAGGTTGTCAGATGGGTTGCTTCCCCTTCTGGGGTTAGCTGGGATAGAAATATATCTCCTCAGAGGGTTTTCTCCCTGGCAGAAATACACCTCTTAAGATCATGACCTCAGCTGACTTGTGTTTGAGTGATTATCAGGATGAGACTCAAGAATGCAGAATTCAGATACGCGGGAGCTTGTCAATGGCTCGCTGGGTTGTTCCTGGAGCACTGCCACAGCCTCCATCCTGCTGGGACACTTCTGCCACCTCCAGATGACACGGAGGTCTAAATTGCTCCCAGACATGGAACTCCTGTAGCACTTTCTAGACAGGAGGTGAATTTACCTATATGTCTTGCCAAACTCCAGTTCGGCAAGCTGTACTTTCTGCTTATGCTCTCCTGCTCCTATCACCTGGGTACAGTAGTTGGCTTCACTTCTGGCTCAGTTGGCTCTGTATTATTATGTGCTGTGGAGCAGTTGCTTCTCTTTGAAGCTCATGCTGCTGCCAAAGAGGTCTAAATCCTGAACTTCCAACATGTGAAAAAGCTCCTAAAGTGACGGGATTTTTTTTTCCTATTTCAAGGATGAATGAAAATTTGAGAAAAGGCATGAGTAGAGTTATTCCTAAGTTTCCGCATGGAAACTAATGGGAGAGGCAAGCCCAGGACTCCACTTGCCCAGACTTCGGGTGGTTTGCCATTCGCAGAACAGCTTCTTCCCAAGCCAGGCTTGCTGGTGGTTTGTCCTAAATATACAATACCATCAGAAAGCAAACCCTGTGTGGGCCTGTTGTTTAAATATGGGTTTAACGGGCTTTTCTGAAGCCAAGGCACCCACGAGAGAGAATTTTAACCCTGTTGTCCAAAGCAGTTTCAAAAGAGAGACTGCATTCATGCCCAAGGTGCATTGAGGCTCTGAAACCCACGACACGCCCTCAGGATTTGCTCTGCTCCCTCCCAGCATCACCGCTGCCCCACTGCAAGTCTGGCGGCTGAGGAAAACCCAGGGAAACTTCAAGGCAGATGTAAAGGAGGCCCCAGAAGGAAAAGGACACTCTGTTGTTAGCTGGGCTCCGTGGCTTACAATGGGATCCTTTTGCAGTGCATTCAGCTGTCTCTTCATTTGGATAGTATATTTATTCAACGCGTTAGCAATGCTTTGGAAAAAACGTTAGGATGCCGTGCCTTCTCTGTCCCTTGAAGTTTTTAAGTTAAGGCTGTATTTCTTTCTGAAACATATGCATTGCTTTCTCATTGCAGCTTTGAACAGCAGTTATG